TTGCCCCCCTTGTAAACACGAATGCGCAGACCCAATCAAAATGAAGATTTCCTCAGAGCACGGACACTGCGCTTGGCTTTTTCCTTCCTACGCAGTTGCCTTCTTTGGCTTAGCCATGTGCTGCATTGACCTGTGTTTGCCATAGGTCATTCTTATTTGAAGTAAGAACCCCATAGCTGTCGCTATCTGGGGAACAAGTCTACGAGTCGCGCAGCCTGACATTTTTCGATTAGCACAAAAAGCTCAAGCAAAATCACCCCAGCAACAACACCAGCTGCCAACCGATGACCAGCAACAAGGCTTACCAGAGTCACAGCAACCAACCTACTCACAAAAGCACATGAAATTAGACAAAATACTATCACGCGCATAATATGATGTCATGCACATGAAATGATACGGTTCACGCGGAATGATGTCGCGCACATGACATGATGTCATGCGCATGAAATGATGTCATGCGCATGAAGTAATACTTCTCATGGGAATACTGTAGTTTTACTAACAGCAGCCGAAATAATACTCTGCCCGTGAAATGATGTCATTACATGAAATCATGAAGCGCGCATGAAATGATGTCGTGCGCATGACATGATGTCATGCGCATGAAACGATCTCACGCGCATGAAATATTACTAGCATCCAATGCGACTGCATGCAGTGCGGCGACTTGCGGTGCGGTCACGTGCAGTCACTTGCGCCAGCGGACAGTGGTGGTCACTTGCTGTCACCTGCTCCAGCACGCGGCGGCGGTCACTTCGGTCACGTGCTCCAGCAGTCTCTTAAGGGGTCACTTACTGTGGTCACTGGCGGTACGGTCACTTGCGCTCGCTGCCGTCACTTGCTCCAACGAGCAGCGGCGGTTCCTTGCTGCAGTCACTTGCGGCCACTCGCACTTGCGGTGGGGTCACGTGCGGTCACTTGCTCCAGCGGGCAGTGGCGGTTACTTGTTGTCACTTGCGGCCTACGCGCGGTGGGGTCACGTCCGGTCATTTGCTCCAGCGGGCAGTGGCGGTTACTTGTTGGAGTCGCTTGCGGCCGCCTGCGGCGCACTTGCGGTGGGCTCACGTGCTGTCACTTGCTCCAGCCGGCAGTGGCGGTTACTTGCTGGAGTCACTTGCGGCGCACTTGCGG